ATTAAATTGCGAGAGTCACGGAAGGATATACACGCGATACCGCTCTTCTCGATCTGTGAGGGGGGGGGAAGGAGAAGGGATTTACGGAGAATGCGTAAGGTAAGGTAAGGTAAGGTATATGCTTTAGTGTACAGGAGCAAGGCAGCTCGCCCTACAGGACCCCTGCCCGGGGGCGTTCGTCTAAGCAGGACGAATCATGAGCTGCTTTTGCACCGAGTCGTTGATGCCCGGGACCGTGGGACGTCTTCTTTTCTTGACTCGAGCCGGTGCGCAAAAAGGAATATATGAATGAATTTACTGTTTTCCCTTGTTGTTGCATAGATCTTGAATTCCGGAAATGATGATATGAAAAAGCGGAAATGAGATGGTTGTGCTGCGGCAAGGGCAAAGAAAGTCTTACTCTCAAAGAAAGGTCTCACATCGGAAGGAAGTATCTACCCTCCGCCCCTCCACTCCACTCCACTTCATTCCACTCCACTCCACTCCACTCCACTCCGCCCTCTCTCTCTAGACTCTTTCTCTCGCTCAGCCCCACCCCGCCCTACGACCCTAACTAAGCCCGCCCTTCCCCCCTTCAAGCAGCGCCGGCGAGAAACGGTTCAACGTGCTGACTCGAACCCTTGTTTTTGCGACGTGCAACAAAAAACTGTTCTCTTGTGTGTTCGACAGTTCGAACTCCACAGCCCTACGGCCCCGCTTCCTGATTGAGAGCTGCGCCCCGGGGTCTTCGAGATGTTGGGGGTTGAAGAGGAGGGTTTGCTTGACTCGGTGCTGCGGGTTGCGATGTGCAACAAAGACGGATGAATTCGTTGATTGATCTCTTTTAATTGGATGTATCTTAGGTACCTTGGGCAAGGGAGTAGGTAACTAACTGGTTGTTCATCTTGTACGGAGACACGGAAACACATGTAACAGGCACGTGATCTCCCGCCCGATGGCTGGCCGACCCGCCCTCGCGGCCCCTCTTCCTGATCCAGCAGTGCCCCGAGTGCGCGGTTGGGTATCTGGGAACGAAGAACTGAAACCTATTTTTGCGATGTGCAACAAAAGATGTGGTGGTCCTGGGAGGATTACATGGGAGAGGAGGCTCGTGGATATACGTAAGGGGTGCAATAATCCAATGATCTCATATGTCTATGATGGCCGAGGGTGCTGTCTGTCTGTCTGTCTGTCGTGGACCCTGAGCTGGGAAGGGACTGAGAGAGAGGGGGCGCGTGTGTGGAGGGAATGGGAGATTTGAGAGTGAAGAAATCAAAGGGTTTATATTGTTATGCTGTTACATCTTGTTCTGCACGTAAGGCATGTAGTTCTTGGAGCACGATTCTACTGTAGGTTTCTGCAAAGGTAAGATATCAACCATAGGTACCTGTAGGTAAGGTACTCTAGACATACCGTACACAAGTCCCTTCACCTCTCACCCATGATCCATCCCTCCGGCACTCCCCCACCATCTCTCTCACAACCTGACTCGGTGCTGAATTCACGACGTGCAACAAAAAGAGCATTTCCTTTATTCTTCCTACCCATCCCCACCCGTAACGTTCCTGTACTTTGTAGACGAAATTCCCAGACCCTGGTTCCGACAAGGCTGGCTGGTCTGGGGGCCCTGGCGGACGCGGAAGCATCGACTCGTCTCTTTTCGCTCGTGCCGACGGCGGCCCGGCGCTTCCTGATCGAGCAGGGATACCGAAGGCCCTGCTTGCTTGACTCGGACCCTGGTTTTTTGCGATGTGCAACAAAGTTGTTTTCACGCCCTTCTTACCTCTGTGTACCCATTTGTTAGTCCTCCGTAGGTGCCTAGGCTGCTCGCTCGGGATGCCTTGTGGGCGGTGGGCCCGGGTCTCGTCCCTTTCGAGGAGCGCAGCCGAGATGGAATCTTGAATTTTGGGACTCTTCTGGGATCATCTTGGGAGGTGGAGGAGTGCTTGACTCGACCCTGGGTTTTGCGATGTGCAACAAAAGTTGTGCTCAAGGTCTTTATACTGTTAATAGGTGCTATAGAACTCGTGGGCCGTGGCCGCGCGGGTGTATTCACGGCCCCCCTTCTGGTTCAAGAACGAGCTCCGGGCTGCAATCTTGATACTGTGAGTGCTTGACTCGGCCCGCGGTTTTGCGATGTGCAACAAAAGTTGTGTTCAGGTTCAGGGTCTTTACAGTAGAGGCTAAGGCTGTTGAATTTGTAAAACAACCCGTGTTAATATTGTGATAGAAGTCCTGGGCCGTGGCGATGTGCTGTGGATTCACGGCCCCTCTCCTCATTCAAGAACGAGCCCCGAGCCAGAATCATATCTTTACGAGAGTGCTTGACTCGGGCTCTTTTTTGCGACGTGCAACAAAGATTCATCTCCTGCTCTAGAATCCAATCCTATCCTCGGTATCCTATCCTAAATCACAGCGTCTCGAGTTCACGAACCCAGTGGCGGCTCGCCCTCTTCCTATCAAGGAAATCCCCCGAAGCGGCTCCTCGGACGATCCCCCAACGTTCAACGTTCCGAGTCAGACCCCTGGATTTACGACGTGCAACAAAGTGCAAAGGTCAAAGGAACAGTCTCTTTAAGCCGCATGTACCGAGTCTGTTGTGTCTTGCGGGATAGAGCGGCTGTCTGGGCCTCGCGGCGTCTGTTCCTGTTCAAGATGCGCCACCCGAGTTGGATCTTGTTCGCTGACTCGGCCTCAGTTTTGCGATGTGCAACAAAGTTCAATCTTTATTCTGTAGGCTACCTTATACGTTATACTTGCCTTGAGGACGGGACATACTGTGATGGTGCGCTTTTCAGATATCGACAGCGGGAACTACATGGACCCCGTACCTGTCATCTCTCCGCCTTTCCATTTTGCACAATACCCAGAGTTAGGATCTTATACAACAGCTCTACACTATATCATTCCATCTCCTACAAAATACTTGACTCGTCCCCAGGCTCTCCGACGTGCAACAAAGCGATTCAAGCCCTTTCTCGTAGAAACAGGCAAGGTAGGTAATCCGTGATGCAAAAGCCGTGTCGCTCTCCCGCACGCGACTAGCTACGGAAGAGAACCCTCACGGCCCCTCATCTCCATTAAGCCGCCCTCCGCAAGCCTGCTTCTGAGTCTTGAGTCCTGACTCGGACCCTTTTTTACGATGTGCAACAAAAAAAACGATGACGGATGTTTACATAGGTACCTTATTCAGATGTGATGTCGGGATCCGGCTGTTGTGGCGGAGATAACTTTGTACAAGTCATGTCGCTCGGCGTGGCGGCTCCCACATTTCGCGGCCCCTCGTCCGGTTCGAGTAGCGACCCCGAGCCGGCTTCAGAGGTTCGCAGATGTTCTTTTGTATGGCTGACTCGAGACCCGATTTTGCGACGTGCAACAAGAATTTCTCCAGTTAGTTCTGACATCACGGCGTTCTCACGATAGGAAGTTTCCTTACTCGTCCCGGAAAGAAGTAAAGAGAGAAAAAGTGGCCAAGGCATCGAGCGGCGACCTTGCCCCTCGGCGTCCCCGAGCCGGCGTCATCTGTCCTCTGGGGTTTCTGACTCGAGTTCCTTTTTTGCGACGTGCAACGGAATTTCTGTCTCCTGCTCTAGAACCGGCTCGTGAATCACGGCGCGTTCATCATAGATAATTACTACATTCGCCGCGAGAAGTCTCCGGCAATAAGATCATGTGCCGCCGGGTCCCAGGCGCCTCGCTGGCCCTTGGGTAGGAAGACTGGCATTCTTACAAGGGATTTTGTACGGAATCGTATTCTCTTTTCGCGGCGTGTAATGAACACAATGTTATTACTCGAGGCCTATCGAGTAAGTAGGTAGGTAAGGTAGTAACCCCATGGGCGGCTACAATACAATACCAGCACCGCACTCCACTCCACTCCACCACTCCACCCCACCAGACAGACAGACCCTTGCCCCCCCCGCCCAGCGCGCGGGAACCGTTTTCCGTTTCCCATCATTCATCATCGCTTCATTATGCTTGACTCGACCCTGGTTTTTGCGACGTGCAACAAAAAGATGTGATCCAGGCTTTTCTCGTCATCCGCGTCGCCTCCCAGTCCTGTTCGAGTAGGCGACTCCGACGCGGTCGACATATCACGAGGAGATTCTGACTCGGTGGTGGATTTTGCGATGTGCAACAAAGTGTTTGATGATTCTTCTTCTTTCTTCTCTTGCGTGGAGAAGTCTTGTATAAGGTAAGTAAGGTGGGAAGTTGTTTATCGTGGTGCGCGCGCTCGCTCGACGAGAACTGAACTGAATTGAACCGAGGCTTGGCTGGCTGTCCTGGGCGCCTTCCCGGATCCTCCTCCTCGCTCTTCACATACCTTATCCATCCATCTTTTACAGTATTATACTGACTCGACCACTTTTCAACGACGTGCAACAATATATTCAATCAAGTCTTCTATCTACCCTACCTTACCTAGAGATCCTCCCTACGATGTTTATTTCATAAACACCCTTCCCTTCCCTTCCCTACCTTACCTAGTTATACCTAGCACATGCATATTGCATAAGGTTTACCCTCCCTAACCTACCTCCCTGCATACCTAACAAGCCCAAGTTTCCAACCAGCGACGGCCCGACCCTCCCTCCCTCCCTTCCTCCCTTCCCTTCCTCCCCCAATCAATCAATCCACCGCCTAACCCTTCCCCCCTTTTTTCCCTCTCCTCCGCAAAGAAATCCTTCTCCCTGACTCGTTACACGCCGCGAAGCCGGGAATAAGAAAATATAAGGAGGAGATGCGGATGCAGACTCGCGAGGCGGGGTTGTTGCTGATTGACTGACTCGATGGGAATTGCGGTGTGAAATGAATGAACGGTGGAGAGGAGAGGAGAGAGGGGAAGAGAGGAGAGGAGCGGGGGGATGGGGCGGGAAAGGTATGTTATTTTATGTTACTGACAGGAGGAGTTTCTGAGTTTAGGGAAGGAGTTCGAACATCTGTCTTCACATCTTGCAAAATTAGCCGTGAACGCACAGAGTAGGCGTGCCATGCCAGTTCATTACCGAAACTCGACAACTGGTGCGACCGACATTGCTGAATGCTATATCCAAGGAATATATATATATATATATTATCTCATTTATTTGTCCATGATCCCGAACCTTAGGTAGGTACGTTCTTCCCTATCTGCGAGGGAGGAGGAAAGTAGGAATACTTGTTCTTAAAGGGGGCTTTGTATCGGGATAAGTTTTTTTGTGGGGTGGGGGGGGGGGGGGGGTTGATGCGATTAGCATCGAGGCGAGCAGTCTACTACCTAGTCATGATGAAGAGCTAGTGAACGAATTTCACGATTTGAGATAAACCCAACCGTCAAGATCCCAGGTGGACCTAATTCAAACACCACCTCGATCCCCAGTACGCACTCTCGGCTTACGAGGAAAGGAAAGTCCCGTGAGCTTGATCAAGGGTGCCGAGTGATCGATTCTTAAGGCTACCCGCCATCGCTCTCTCCCCTAGGTAGGATCTTGATTGATCATCACTTTTTCCGGATTGATTATCCTAGTAGTGGAGAATACGGTATGCTCGCGTTCTACGAATGATCGAAATTATCGTATTTCGTGGCACATCCATCCGTGGCCTAGTGGCGTGGTGCCTTGGAGCTGAGCTGTGACGCACCATCGAACGTTATCGGATGATAGATAGTTAAGTGGCCATATATAGCAGCCCCGCGGATGATAGCTTCTTGGCCGGGACTGAGAACGTTGGGGGGCGAGAGAGGGCTTTCTTTCTTGCCTTCGAGATAGGCTTCAAGATAGGCTTCGAGATAGGCTTCGAGATAGGCTTCGAGATAGGCTTCGAGATAGGCTTCGAGATGGGGTTGAACTCTTGCGATGTGTGTGGGATTGCCGGTGATTATGATACCGTTGATTTCCCTCTGTTCCATTTTAGCATTCTCAAGGAGGTACTTGACTAAGTGAAGGGTTGTCTGTGTGATCGTCGTCGTAAAAAAGCGATGGGGTTGCGACTAATTTGGACTTCGATTTTGGCTGATGGTTTATTCAATACTGCCTGTTCTGTTTTCTCAACTCCGGATCTTAATCCCTTTATAATCTTGACGTCCTTGGTGGTATCGGTATTGTTCTCATTATTGAATTGAGCGATAACGTGATCGAGAAGGATGTTTCTAAAATCATCTCTTCGCACTCGCGAAGAGCCTTGTCGCGTCTCGACACTTCTATAACATAGCCTATGCCGGCAGCTGTTGGCTCGTTGACGAGAGAAGTACATTCAATCCTGTTACCATAGCAGCATCCTTTGTCGCATGTTTCTGTGTATCGTTGAAGTGCGAGGGAACAGTGAGGACAGCATATTTGACTGTTCGGTTCAGGTGAACCTCAGCCATGGCCTCCAACTTCTCCAGTACCTTGGTCGAGGTTTCCTCCAGAGCGGAGTACTTGTCCGCTCTCTTGATCTGTACTTTGATGAAGGGCATGGCATCCTTCTCTAGGACATGATCGACATCATATAGCAATGACTTATCCACGTAGGCACAGAAGATATATAGACTTACCGCACATCATAAGCAGCGATTTTGGGGTAACTGACAGCCTGGTCCTTCGCTGAAAATCCCATTAGAGAAGACCCTTGATCCGTGAATGAAACATATGATATTAATGCGACCTTGCTCATCAGCAAGAATCTCGAAAATGTCATTTCTGACGGGATATTATCGCAAGGCATAAAATGGTAGCAAATTCAAGAAAAGAGAGGACCGTAGTTCTTCTTGGCATCGGCACCTAGTATGTAGAATTGTATTTCGTAGAAAAGTTGATAGATAGATGAATGCTGGTTTTTGGACGCAGCATCGAAGCTTACCTATGATGCATTTGCTGGAATCTGTCCTCCTAAACCGCTAGTGTGCCCCCACACTCGTGGCAATAGGCAGCAAATGCCATATAACTTTTATGGAACATAACATATTCCTTGATATGTAAATCATGATAAAAGCAGAAATGCGTAAAGTGTGGATTGTGAAAGATTTTCAATAAGGGGTTTGGGGCTTGGGGCTGGACTGAAGAGAGGTTTGAACAGGATAGATATCAAAGCTGGAAAGCTTCTCCAAGAGAACTGACACAGCACGCTTTCTTTCCCATTCATCCTGTGCAATGAACATTGTATGTATGGAGGATATTGTGCGGAATATGCAGTTTTTCCCACCTAAGTTCAGAGTTCGCACTTGTTCGCCCTAAAATGTCTCAGCTGTGGGAACCTCGCGAAATGGCTGTCTCCATCCGCCGCGAACACCTCGTTCAACTCAACCCCCGTTAGCCATGTCCTCTCACCACAGAACCAAGACCACAACTAGCAAGGGAGACGACAACTCTCTAGGGACTCACCTCGTTTTGTTGCACATCGCAAAAGATGTCTCGGGTCAGAAGCAGGGAGGATCCAAGCAGCCGCCCGTCCAAACCCACTCACTACTCACTCGGCTCCGGCTCCAGCACATCAACTCGGCTATCGTCCGACCTCCCCTGGATCCCTTATGTTAGGCCAACCCACCGAACCACCACTACTACTACTACTACTCGCAAGGGAGCAATCCTAGATCCCGAGAGGAATGTGCCAATCCCTTCACGTCTGCTGGGTCCTTTTCATCTTTTGTTGCACGTCGCAAAAAATGTCTCGAGTCAGAGACAGGGAACTGCTTCGGCGCGCATACCAAAAACATACCTATATCCTCGTCTGCGCTCCCGCTCGCCCCTGGACCCTGAACATGGCGAGGAGAGAACGACGACGGAGGACTGCTTAGTATCAACATTCCAGCTCTAGTTAGTTCTTTGCAAGGCTTCCAAGGTCTTTGGGCAATTTTTGTTGCACGTCGCAAAAAATGTCTCGAGTCAGAGGCCGGGGGGAAGACATGGGAGAGTTGGCTTGCGTTGTCCTTGCTACGCCTATCCCACACCCTGCTTCCGGGCCAGCACAAGATCATGTAAGATAGCCATTCACGAAGCACAAGGCTTTGTGAATGATAGAAACGCTTTTATTTTTGTTGCACGTCGCAAAAAGTGTCTCGAGTCAGAAGCCGGGGAAGATATGGGAGAGTTGGTTTGCGCTGTCCTCGCTACGCCTATCCCACTGCTTCCGGGCCAGCACAAGATCATTACTAGGGATCAAGAATGTAAGATAGCCAGCCATTCATTCACGGAGCACAAGGCCTTGTGAATGATAGAGAAGCTTTCATTTTTGTTGCACGTCGCAAAAAATGTCTCGAGTCAGAAGCCCGGGGGGGGGAGGCATAGGGAGTTCGCTGTCCTCGCTACCACGCCTATCCCACACCCTGCCTCCGGGCCAGCACAAGAATCATTGCCAGGGATCAAGAATGCGAGATAGCCATTGACGGCGCACAAGGCTCTCTGAATGATGAAGCTGCTTTCATTTTTGTTGCACATCGCAAAAAATGTCTCGAGTCAGCGCAGGGGAGTCTGGCAGGGGCCCGCCACGGAGCGTGTTTCCCAAGGAAGATGAAAGGGGATATATCCCCGCGGGAGCATCACCAACAAGTAGTGAACAACGCAGAGCCTCACCTCCGCCTACCCTTGCGAGATGAACGTGTCCCCCGCCTGCGCCGCGCACGAAAGGATTTTGTTGCACGTCGCAAAAGAGAGGTCCGAGTCAGTCAATTGTTCAGGGCGAGGATGATGGGGGAGAATAATGGAGGCAAGGCGGCTCTGGCTGGCTAGAGAGGAACGGCTGTGCCGCTGTTGGTGGGGCTGCCCTACGAGAGAAAGAACTTAGAAGAGAACTGTTTTCTGTCGCCGAGTCAGATGCGTCGGCTATGCGGGGCTTTCTGATTCATGATCTTTTCTCTGGACTGCTGGGCTTCTTTTCCAGGACGGCATGCTCTCTTCCCATCCCTTTTCTTTTTTTCCCAACCTCCAATCCCCTCTCAACTACCAGCCCAGGCTGCCCAGCACAGCTCTCCGAGCCAACTCGTACAGCACATAGGTACAGTACGACACGGCTGTCTCCATCCGGACTCGAAGGAACGAAACCCGAGAACACGAATCCTCCTCTATTCGTTCCTTGACCGCCGTCTGTGCTGAACTGAGTCATGTGAAGCTGTATATATGTAGGGCATCACATGTTATTACATGACGTCAGTCATGTGGACTAGGTCAGAACTAGCCACACCTTTTTATGTACACGCATATATGTAGGATAATACACCCTCTGTTGCAAGAAACCACTGGCCTTATCACGTGGGGTTAGCAGTCACGGGACTAGGATGCTCCGGAGGCCCTAGTCTAACCTAATCGGGGTTAGCAACCCGCCAAAAAGTTAGTTGTTTACTATTGCTATACAGGCACTCTATATGATTACTTTACTTAGTCAATTTAATTTATTAGTTCTTGCGATACGACGATAGATCGAATATCCTGTATAATATAGTAGTAATACTATTCGATCTCCTCTATTACTAAATTCGGATTCGATCTATCTATTAATCGTAAGATTCGTCGCGGTAAGGCCTGTTTTTAATTATAGCGCGCCGGTCAAAGATTAAACTAGAGCTCTAGACTAGATTATAGAGTTAAGAGAAGGAGATAACAGCAATATCTATAGAACCCTTAGACTAATTATAATGTCTAACTTATTAACCGTACTTGTAAGTAGTAAGAGGCTATAGGGCGAGAGTAACTACTATACTTAGAAGTTAGATGTGTTCGATATATTAGAAGCTAATAGACTCGATAGATATATATCTAAGAACTACCCTATACTAAAGGCTGTTAAATATAGTGATACTAAGGCTACAAAAGAGGAGTAGGACTAATATAACAAATAGAGAGCTAGTAACGTAGTAACGCGCCGGGTTATTAAAGAGAACATCTCGTTAGTTCTTATACTTAATCTTATAGCGAAAGTAGACTTAGTAGAGGCTATATAGACTAAGCTAGCTAATTACTATAAGGGCAAAAGGTTTACTTAATAGTACTAAGCGGCAGATAAGTTCTAGCTACTTAGGTATAAGGATTATAATAATGTAGAGAAGTTTATCGACGCCTTTATAACTCGACTTAAACGAGCTACTTAACTAGATGTAGTGCCTAAGAGCGACTACCTGTACGCTATTATCTTTATTAATTAACTTACAAAAGCCTTCCCTTAATAGGCTAAGAGACACTAATCCCTTTAAAACCTGTAGAAGAGCGGCGAAAAGAGTACCTTATTACTTAACACGTTAATTATAGAGATTAGAGACAAAGCTTAGGCAAAAGATAGTAGATTAGTACTATTATTAGTATTACTATATAGTAGTAAGCCGGATAATAAGGATAAAAAGAAGGGTAAGGGCAAGGATAAGGATAAGAAGAAGCTTAAGAGAAAGTAGTACTACTACTATAGTAAGCTTTATGTTATAAAGGATAAAGACGACTATTAGACTACGTTCCTAGAAAAGCGTCTAAAAAGAAAGGACTAAAAGGAGTCTTTATAAGGCGCTATATTACTCTATATAGTAGGTAATTAGTAGCCGTAGATTAACAGCGCGCTAGGCCTAAGGGCGTTAAAGGTAGCGCTTAGGTTAGCTACTTAAAAGGAGTTCTAGAAGGGGAATTAGTGCCTTAATATAAGGGCAACTTACTATATATGTAACGATAAGTCGATCTACTATAGTTTTAAGGTAACTAAGTAGTTATAGCCTGTTCTAATAGGCGCTAGGTTAATCTAACTAAAGGGTTATAGTAATATTATTCTAAAGGCTAAGGTAAAGGGTAATTAGTATCGCAAACTACGGCTAGAGGGAGTTCTATTTATTCTAACCTTTCTTATTAACCTTCTATTAGGAGTCAAGCTCTTACGCTATAGTAGATCTATTACTAAAAGAGCCTTTCTAGATAGAGAAGAGGAGACGCTTATACTTTATAAGGTCGATAATATAAGGGTATATCTATAGTTAGACGCGCCTAGCTATTATATTACAGTACTACTAGCTACTCTTTAACAAGGTAAGCTAGGTATTAAACTATAGTATAGGAGATTAGGGTACTTAGGCTTTAATAACGTCTAAAAAACCGTAGAGATTACTACTAGTATATAGATTATAGACAAACCTATAGATATAGATCTTAGCGTTACGGTTTTATATAAGCCTTACGAGCTGTCTAAGCTACTACACTTAGTTAGACGCTCTATTAAATACCGGCCTACTGTTATACTCTAAGAGGTAAGTATAGACGTAGTAGAGGTTACCTTAATTAGATTCTATAGTAAGCGCTACGCTACTATTATAACAGATATAGCTACGCGTACTAGATAAGGATATCCTTATAAGAAGAAAAAAGAGGCTTATAATAAGATCCTTGGCTTTATTAACATAACAGAGCGTTAGTTTGCCCCTTTTAAGATCCTTATATTAATAGTTAATAGTAGTAACGAATACAGTAGTATCGCGTTGACTAGCGTCTGTAAGGTAAAGGGGATTTAAGTTAAAGAGACTATACTATATACCCTTAAGTAACTAGGCGTGTCTAAGATCGTAAACAAGATTATAGCTAGACGGCTGTAATCTACTATAATTAACTAGAACGTCCCTAAAGAGCTATGGCTAGAGTTACTAGAAGGGACAATTTATGTTGTTAACAGAATAGCTACGTTAGCTATTAAGGGCAAAACCCTATATTAAGCCTTTATAGATTAGCTATACCTAAATTAAGACAATAAGCCGTCTATAGCCTACCTACAGGTACTTGGCTATAAGGTATATGTTTATATCCCGGATTAGAGACAGGTTAAGTTAGGGAAGTTTAATAAGCGCGCTAAAAAAGGGATCCTTCTTAGTTTTAAAGGCCACTAAATATACTGTTGTTACGTGCCCTTAAGAGCTTATAAGATCGTTAGATTATCGAACGTAAGATTCGACAAAAGAGGTTTTGTATTAGAAGTATTAGATAATAAGATATAGTTACTACTAACTAAACCGTGCCTACTAACTAATCTACTTATAGATTTAACAAACGCTAAAGGCAAAGATAAAGCTAAAGATTAAGAGCTAGCTAAAGATTAAGATCTAGCTAAAGTAGCCGAAATAGCTAAGAAACCGCCCCTTACTACTACTAATGTTAATCTACTAGCTAATACTAACTCTGTCGCGAAACAGATCTAAGATTAGTCGACTACTGCCTTACCTGATTTAGTAGCTATTAAGCGCGGCCGGGGGCGCCTAAAAGGTTTAAAGAATAAGCTAAAGGTAACTCTAGCTCTAGCTTAAGCTCTAGCTTAAGCTTAAGACTCTATACGTTCTATTAACCTTAAAACTACCTAAATAACTTGATCCTAATTACGTTATATAACTAAGGAGGATATAAGGGATAATACTAAACAAGGGGTATAGTAATTAGCTTATTCTGCTATAGCTATAGCGTTCTACGCTACTTACTAGACTATAGTTAAAGACGATCTAGAAAACGTTCTAATTACATATAAGGAGGCAGTTAGTAGCGTTAAGTCTAAGTAGTAGAAGGAGGCTATACAAAACAAACTCGACTTACTCGTAAAGAACAATACGTAGAGTCTAGTTAAGAGATTAAGCCTTTAAAAGGGTACTAAGGTTCTAGATAGTAAGTAGGTGTTTAAAAAGAAAACTAGCGTTAATAGTTTAGTAGTACGCTATAAGGCCTACTAGGTAGTTAAAGGATATAAGTAACGCTACAGGCGTAATTACGATTAGACTTACGCTAGCGTAGTTAAAAGCATGACTTAGAAGGTAATCCTAGCCCTAGTAGCTAAGAAAGACTAAGAGACAGAACAAATAGACTACGTTATAGCCTTTCTAAATAAGGAAGCCGATAAGGATATATACGTAGAACTTCTAACTAGCTCTAGTAAAGATAACACTTATGTCTGTAAGCTTAACAAGGCTTTGTATAGTTTAAAGCAGGCTCTATAGTTATAGTAGCTAAAGCTATGCCAAGTACTTATTAAGCTAGGCTTTAAGCCCTTAATAGCCGACAATTATATATATCGACACCCTAATAGTAGATTAATCGTTATAACCTATGTAGACGACTTTCTTTTAGTTAGCCTAAAGGAGAAAGAGCTAACTAATCTAAAAGTAGCCTTATAAAGTGCGTTTAAGATAAAGGACTTAGGCCCTTACTACTACTTTATAGGCGTTAGAATCGTTAAGAACAGGGCTAACAGGATTATATCTCTTGTACAGGACGCTTACGTTAATAAGGTACTAAAACGCTTTAAGATAAGTAACTATAAAGCCTCTAAAATACTATTAGATCTAGCTTACGTAAAGCTTATAGTTTTAAACCTAGAACACGCTATAGTAGATTAGGTTAAGCTATATTAGTAGATCGTTAGTTCCCTTATATATCTGTTAACGTAAATACGGCTAGATCTATACTATTTAATATCTATATTGTTACGCTATCTTACGAATCCTTTTACTAACTATATAAGCGCTATAAAACACGCGTTACGTTACCTAAAAGGTACGCCTAACTTAGGAATTATATATAAGATAGGTAAAGGAGCGTTAGAAGGACTGTATAGATATAGCGATTTAGACTACACTAGTTATATAGAAACGTAAAGATTAACTATTAGGTATTTATTTAACTACTATAGTAGCGCGATATCCTTTAGATTAAAACGGCTATAGGTAGTAGTACTCTCTTCTATAGAAACTAAATACTACAGGTTATTAAACGCTATAAGAGAGGCCGCCTAGCTAAGGCAGCTATTCTACAAGTTAAGAGTTAACTCTAAAGACACTAAAACGATCTAAATATACAGTAATAACTAAGGATCCCTAGCGCTAATAGATAACCTAGTTATCTACTAGAGAACTAAGTATATCGACGTATAGTACTACTATATTTAAGAGCAAGTCGCGCTAGGCAAAATAGAGGTTTAGTTTAAGCGTATAGAGGATATAGCGGCTAACAGACTTACTAAGGCTCTAAAGGGGCTAAAACACGCTAAGTTCTTAAAGCTGTTAAATCTGTATACTATAGCTATCTTAATTACCTAATTAGGACGTTTCCTTATTTTTATTTCCTCTTTCGGCATTAAAAGCGGCAGAATCTTACTAGTTTACTATTTCTATTTCCCTTTACAGTAATAGGGCAGCAGAATCTTACTAGTCTACTATTTCTATTTCCTCTTTTAGCATCTTACTTAGTAGAACGGCAGGCGGTATAGAGTTTAGGCTAAATTTAGGTAGATAGGACGTTATAGGCGTGGATTTAAGGGTGTGTTACAAGAAACTACTGGCCTTATTACGTAGGGTTAGTAGTTACAGGACTAGGATACTCTAGAGGCCCTAGTCTAACCTAATCAGGGTTAGTAACCCGCTAAAAAGTTAGTTGTTTACTATTGCTATACAGGCACTCTGTATAATTACTTTACTTAGTCAATTTAATTCATTGGTTCCTACGATACGACGATAGATTAAATATCCCGTGTAACACCCTCTATAATCCTTAAGTAATATAATTATATTTATTATAACCCTACTATTAGATCTACTATAGTAACCTTTTAACAGGTTATAAGCCTGGCTAGGCGTATTCCTCCGCTATCCTAATCAACTAGCTAAGTTACTTAGCCTAGAAACGTAGATCCTATTACTAATTAAATAAACAGTAAAAAAGAGAGTCTAAACATTAAAGTTAGATATTAGAACTTATTAACTAATAATAAAGGCATTAAAGGGAACACCTGTTAAAAGCCTAACAATCTTAGTAACACTTAACTAAAACTTTAGGCGTACTAGTTTCTTAAGGACGCTAGAGAAATTAGCTTACAGATTTCTAAAACCCTAGCCTCTAATTAGCTAAGGGACAAGAAATACTAATAGCTAGCTTAGGTAAGGTATAGAGTTAACGAGGTTAGTACTAACTATCGTAATTCTATAAGCCTACTAGCTATACCCTTTAACGTGTCTTAAATACTAACTACCTAACTGACTAAAGGGACATAAATATAGATAATTCCTATCCTTTAAAAGAAGAACAACCTCGTAAGAGAGTAAAGCTTACTAAAGAAGTACTTTAAGAACTCTAACGTAACTACCCTTAAGGACGACAATCCTGTCTTATTTAAATCTAGAACTTTATACGCTACTAGCCTTATCTCTATTAAGAACTTCTTAAACAACAAGAGAAAGGACCGGATTTAAAAACCCTATATAGTTAATATATAGTAGACATAGTAAGTAAAGTACTAGTTAGTTAGGCTAATACTGTTGATTTAATTCTACTACCGCTAAGCTATTACGATCTGTTTAGCTAGGAAGCCTAAGGGCGTCAAACGTTACTAACGCCTACCTTAGAAGCTAGTCTAAGCTCTTTCTTAACCTTAACAAACCCTAAGTTAATATATTAGAAGCCGTTAAATCAAAAGTAATCTTAGTAATCTAACAAATCCTAATCCTTAATTTAAGTAACTAGGTAGAGTTTAATAGACAAGCTAGAGAATAGCTTATCCTTACAGGATACGACGACATCCTTAAAGATAAGAAACTAGAACAATAAGACAAGAAAGAGAAAGTAGATTTCTAAAAGCGACTTAAGGTCTATAACATCTACATAAAGAGAGCATGTACTACGATCTAGAGTCGATGTAGTACTAACGCTTACTCCTTAGTTAAGAAAGAAGGTAACCTTAAGAAGATTCTTAATAAGCTAAGATCGGCCTATAAAGCCTAGGGAACTAGCCTGCTTTTTAATCTATTCTATAGATTCTAGACTCTTAGGCTACAAGACTACAAGTTAGTCGATAAATACGTAAAAGCCTTTAGACAAATTAACTACGACCTAGAAAGGATCTATACTAAGGCCGTTAGGCTAGATCTTAATATAGTCGTTAGGTTTATAGATAGACTCGACTTGTCTTATAACGCTTATGTTATAGATTTCTAGTAGAACCGTGTCTTTATTAAGGAAACCGACGATTTAGATCTATAAGTTGTATCTTTTAATAAATTAGTCTAAAAGACTGTAACTAAAGAGTAGCGGTTACGACATAACAAGGACAGAGGAACGTTAGCTATAACAGTAACTTATGCTATAGTAGTACCGGCAACTACTACAGATCAAAACAAAAAGACATTTGACTACTATACTTACTACAAAAGAACTAGATACTCGATCGTTAACTGTTTCTATAAGCACCCTAATTTAGCTCTAAAAGGATAGAAACCGAGGACTAAAAAAGGGAGAGCAAATAACAAGAAAGGAAAGAAAAAGTAACGACTTAATAGTAATAGCGACAATAACGACGACTACACTATTATTACAGCTGTTAGTGTTACTTTACTAGCTCTTACTACTAATAAACTAATAAATGGTTTCTTAATTAACTCGGCCTGTTTAAATTACTTAACATAAAGGTAAGATCTCTTTATTAACTTTAAGGAATTTACAATACTACTAGTTCTAATTAAAGGAATAGGTAGTACTAAGGTAGTGCTAATAAGAAAAGGAACGATCTGTATTACTACTAGAGGCAGGATTCTTTATCTAAGTAACACCTATCTAGTACTAGACATAAGGGTTAATCTTATCTTAACTAGACAGCTTAAAGAAAAAGGATATAAGATAGGGTTTAGGACAGGTAATACAATTAGAAATAGAATCTCTTTTACTGTTAAAGGTTATACCTTTACCTCGACACAAAAGAATCGTGTCTACCTACTAGACCTTAGAAAGTCAAGAGAACTTTAAACCTAGACTATAACTACGGCTTAAACCTATATTACTATATATAGTACAGCTATTAATCTAAAGTATCGGCTCTAGTACTACAGAATAGGTTACCTAGGCAAAGCAAACGTTAAACGACTTCCCTAAATAGCTTATAGAGTTAACTTAGAACAACCTTAAAACAACAAATGTACTTGTAAAAGCTATATACTTATAAAGATGTCTACTAAACTATATAATCATCTGATTAAGCTAGGAGAGTATCTAATAGATTTAATACATTTTGATCTAGTTAGACTAATACTATTTAATAGCGTTAATAGAGAGAGATATTTTACACATACTTATTATAACAAGACTAAGTTTAGATTAGCTAAACCGCTAAAGAATAAGAGTAAAGCTTTTAAGTTCTTTCTTAAGTTTAAGGCTACTTATAAACGGGTAGGTTAGAAGATTAGACAAGTTAGATATAATAAGGGAGAGCTTACCTTACTTAAGAGGTTTAAAACTTACTGCCTTAAAAACGACATTAAGATTAAACTAACTGTTCTATATAATCCTCTATAAAATAGTAGCGTAAAACAATATAGACAAACACTATAGATACGTACTAAAGCTATACTACAGTAATTAGGCCTTCCGGTTAAACAGTGGCCTAAAGTACTAAGAGCCTGTCTATACGTATTAAACAAGAGTCTGTATAGTACTCTAGACTATAAATCTCCTTTTAAGGTACTAAACTACTATAAACTAGATCTGTAAAACATCTATATTCTTAGCTTAACGGCTTATAACCTTGTAGGCAGAAGAAAGAAGAAGCTCTATAACTATATAGTTAAAGGTCGTCTAATTAGATATAATAGCAAAACAGTCTACTATATACTTTTACTTAACAGGCGTGTTATCTAGGGTAGTAATGTCTACATTAATAAGTAGCTGTTAAATAAGGATTAAAAGCCTTAAATAGACACGACCGACTAACCTTAAGTAGTTACAGATTAAGTACTAGATATACAACCCGACTTTAAGTACTTAGAGCAGGTACTACTAGCTACTACACTATCTGTACAATCCCCTTTAGGGGGATACTAAGAACTTGCCGACACCTACTTTAACTACGACAGTAAACTAGAGCTCGCGGTTACAACTAAACTAGAACCTCCTGTTATAACTCCTATACATACTATGTATACTTTCCTAATAAAAACAGATTTAGTAGAGCTATTTAAGCTAAAAACGTAAAAGTAAGCCGTTAATAGTAAGAGCTAGGACATGTAGAAACTAGTAGCTTAAGAGGAATATACATCGTTAATAGAAAACAACATATAGAAACTCGTGCCGCCTCTAAAAGATAGACAGGTCTTAAGAGGCAAATAGGTCTAGAAGCTAAAACAGGGACTATATAGTAAGGTCGTCCGGTACAAAGCTTAATAGGTTATAAGGGGTTTTAAGTAACAAGAAGGCAAGGACTATTTTAAAACATTTGTAACTATTGTTAAGCCTATAAGCTATAAAGCACTCTTTGTAATCGTAGTAGCTAAAGACTAGGAGATTAAGCAGATAGATGTTAAGACTACGTTTCTCTATAGAGACATTAACACTAATATCTTTATTAAATAACCTAAAGGTTTTTAGGACGGCTCTAATAAAGTCTACTACCTCGTTAAAGTACTCTATAGCTTAAAACAAGCCCCTTAGGTATAGTACTAGACACTTGCTAGCTTCTTAGAAAGCCTTAGTTACTAGCTACTTAACTTAGACATAAGCGTTTTTTAAGGTAATAGTATTATCGTTACGATCTATGTCGATAACCTACTACTTACTAGACCTAGGAAGGCTAAAATTTAATAGCTTAAGGAGGCGTTAAGTACTTACTTTAAAATAA